GGCGTACATGTGAACCCACTTCCCATTTTCGCAGAGAGTACTCACTGGCAGTGACTGTGGGAGCAGCCTTTGCTCCGAGAGGCCTTGTGGGTTATAGTCCTAATCTGACCTCTGAGGTTTGCCATGGAATATCTCAATTCTATTATTTTTGCATTGCTTTCGTATATTGATGGTGTAGTATTCTATGTGCGAGTATTCTGTTTTTAGTAGTGCTATTTCCCTTTACCAAATATAGTAATTTTCCAACACTAAAAATGTCAAATCCTAGAAAATGCAGTATTTCTACCCTGATGTTAACATAGTTCTTGAAGAGTTGTTAGCTGATGATTCATTTACTGAATCTGATTTTCTGAAATAGATAATTCTGATGACTTTTTAAAATAATGCTTTGGAGGATGAGAAGGTCAGGCCCTGTCTGCCTCAGAAATAGCTCTACATCTGTGGACTTGGTTGCATGCTCTGAAATGGTCAGCTCCTATTACGACTCCATGTCAAAGGCGTAACTTTACCCACATACCTGGTAAAAAAGTTGATGTCAGTGGTACTGACCCACAGCATTTTGAGCTGTTCTTTACTAAGGAATTGTGTACCTTCAAAACATTACCAGTGAAATGAATGCCCAGGCTACCTGTTGGCTTTAATGCCAGTTGGCTGAAAAGGATTTTCTTGAATGGGTAAATGGAAAGGCCCTGGCAATGATGAACTGAAAGTCTCTTATGAAGTGAAGCTACAGTAAGACATTGTACAGACACGAGCTGCAGATGTTTTTCTTAACAAGGTCTCTTTGGATATAACTTATGTCGGGCAAATTATGACCTCTGAATGATTTTTACTTTGCTTTAGCACTTGCATTTTGTCAACAATTTTTCCACATCTGCTAGTCAATCAAAGGTCTGGATTTTATTGCGGATCAAACCTACGTTCGACTTTCTTGTCCGTACATTTTTAACTGTACATACACCGAACAGAAACACTGTAGCTGATGAATCACTGATGCTGTCTACGGGGCAGGTAGAGTACATCCTGATGAAAGAGGCTGACTTGACCCTAACCCTATGTTCTTTGTGAAAGTCAGTCTGGTTACACGTGGAATGCACTTGCTCACAAAGTGCACAAGATAAATTTGAGATTCAGCCATGGGCACATTGTTTTCACCTTGGTAAATGACCTTGTTGGCCAAGGCTATCTTGTTGTCTTCCTTGATAAATTTTATACATCTTCCATGCTTTTACATCAGCCAGGCTGGATGCTAATGATACAGCCCCTTTGAACAGAAAGCAGATGCCAGGTGATCAGGGAGGGAAAAGAGAGGGATTGCCAAGGGGAAGGGCACAGCCAGATTCTGCGGTGAACTCATAGCACCACAATAGTGTGACAAGAAGGGCGTAGTGATGTCATCAACATCCCACAGTGATGCTGTGACTGAAGCAGATGTCAGAAATGGAAAGGTAAGTGAGAGGACACACGCCACTGTGGGTTATAATGAGACTAGGGGGACAGTGGGCCTAACGGCTCAGATGCTCACTTCCTACCCATTTGGCTGCAAAAGGCAGAAAGTTTAGTATAAGAAATTCTTTCTCCAGCTTCTAAACATTACAGGACTGAACTCTTCCATCCTGAACAAGAACAATCCTGAGTGCACAACGAGCCACGTAAAACTTCAGACTGATACTGGGTGAAAGACTGCTGGAGAAACAGCACAAGCTAGGGCTGCTCTGACGGTGCCGTACCGCTCTACCTCCTTGGGAGACACTTCGCCAAGAGCACGCCACCAGCACCAGGGAAACGGAACCCATCTGGTCTCTGGAAAGTTTGCTGCTCACACAGTGACCGGGATGGCAAGTAGACCTGGAGAAAAACACAATATTTTTGTGTGCAATTTTTTGTGTCCATTTTTTTCACATTTAAAGCTTTTATTTTGAAAAATAAAATATAAAAGTCACTAAGTTGTGAACATACGTGGTACTTTCCCAACTTTTCAGAAACAATACAGTGAATTATTTAAATAATTGCGATATTTAATATTATTCATATTAGCACATTTAAATTGCACAAATATTCTTTAAAACGTTGGTCATTTTTGGTTATTTTGGTTTTATTTATTTATTTTTTGTACTGGGAATCAAACTCAGGACCTCACACTTGTCAGGGAGAAGCTGTGCCACTGAGCTAAATCCCCGGACTCTTGAAAACATTGGAACATGTACAGACAAGCTACTCCAAAACACAACTGCCTGATCTTGTTCAGAGAATGTCACTTTTTTTTTTTTTTTTTTTTTTGGTTTTTCTCCGGTACCGGGAACCGAACTCACGACCTTGCGCTTGCCAGGCAGGAGCTTTGCCACTGAGCTAAATCCCCAGCCCCAAGAATGTCACTTTTAAACTCTCCACTTTAAAACTCAGTTTTGAATATGGCAAAGAGAAGATGAGGAGAGAACTGTTTTAAAAGAAAGCCCATGTCCCCTCTGGGCTCCATATCCACCGGGCGGTGCATGTCACTGGGGTCCAGAGAGCTTCTCCCAGGCATGGGATCCCTTGGGAAGCAGGCGTGTGTGCCAGCACCGCTGCAGGCTCAGTGGAAGGAGACTGGCACCTGAGCAGGAGATGTGGGTCATGGCGTCCATGGGCCACCGGTCTCAGCAGGGGGCAGAAGTCCTGGAAAGTTCTTTCTCACGGAAAACTGGGAAAGACATTCCAGGCTCTGCTACTCCACTTGCTGAGTCTGGGCTTTGTCTTTCAGAAAGTCAGATGGTTGAAATTCTGCTTTATAGATTCTTCTAATATTTTTAAGGATTTCCAGATCAGGTTTAATAATTGAATTTATTACCTCTGAAATTAGCAAGGATTTTAGTTTTTAGCAACTGTGGATCAGTGCAATCCTCCCAAGAAGTATTAATCCCAAGAAATCTTCTGTAAAAGTGTTATGTATCTAATTAGGTTCAGTTCAAAGTGGCAAAAATCTCAGATTGGGCATTGGAGGGCTCTTACAAGTCACTGTGGCCTAAACTGCAGCCCTTCCCCTCTGATTCACATGCTGAGGCCCTGACCCTCAATACGGTGGCATCTAGAGATGGGACCTTTGGGCAGTGAGGAGGCTTGTAGGAGGTCGCAAGGGCGCTCTCATGTGGGACTAGCACCCATAAGCAGACACTCAAGGGCTTGTCTCCCCTCCTTTTTGCATGTGCATTCACAGCACACAGGCCACAAGCAGACATCAAGAAAGTAGCATCCTACAAGCCAGGAAGAGAGTTCTCATCAGGAACGGATTCGGCTGGCATCTTAATTTCAGACTTCCAAGACTCAAGAACTATAAGAAATAAATGTGTATTGTTTAGGTTACCCAGTCTATTGTACTTTTTAGAGTAGCCCAAGCTGACTAAGCCACAGATCATCATCTATAATGGTATTTTTGTGGGAACTTGGCATTCTGACCTTCAGGCTAGGGGAAGAATTGAACCCCTGTAAAAAGAGATTGTGTCAAACCTGGATGCTGCTTGCTTTGTCTGAGTAGTCATGATCTCCTTAGAATTCCTAAAAAGGATTAAACCAAAGTATGGAGTTGACTTGCTATTGAAATTTCTTGGAATTCTGTGTCCAGTACTCCATGAGATACAGGGCACATTATAGCCAGCAAGACACCCGTGGCTTCTGCTGTCATGGCATTTACATACTTGTTCAGGAAGTAACAAAGCCTAAACAGCTACAAGGATAAGCACGTTGGAGGCCGAAGGATGAGATGCAATGGAAGCTCCAAGAGACCTGGGTGTTGGACACAGAGACGCTGAGGCTATGTGCAGGGCAATCAGAGACTACAGGGCAGGAAAAGCATCAGCCCGAGAACTTTGTGAGAAAATGAAAGAATTTCTTTGTGGTAAACACAAAGTCATGTAAGAGATTCATGAGTGTTAAACCTTGATGAGCTACCCACCTCTGGACTATACAGTGTGCTCCCATCACAATGTTTTGAAGGTTCTTCTAAGAGCAACAATGAATCCAAATGGCACTGATTTGAGCATACTCACATTTTAGAAATACTGTTCTGGTTTCTATGTGAAACGGGTTGGATTACAAGGAAGGAGACAGTGGCACCCAATATCTAGAGGGGTTGTACTAATCCAGCAGGGAGATGATAGGGAGGGCAGGATGAAGGCAGAGGCAGAAACAGGGCGAGAACTTTGGTAATGAAGAGATGTTGGGGGAGGACAGGGAGAGGGAGACATGGGTGGGACATCCGGGTGTCTGGCTGGCTGTCATGTGCTGATAGATCAGATACAGTAGAGGGGAATGGATTTCCTTGGACTTTATCATTAAAAAAGTTCTTTAAGTGAGAACTTCGCTGCTTTGAGTGGATAATTTAAATCTCTAAAGTCTTTCAAGAATAAAGCAAAGGGAAAAGAGAAAGAGGAGGAGGAAGAGAGAAGAGAGGCAGGAGGAAGAAGGCAAAACAAATTAGGTCTTCGGTTTTGTCTTAGGCGATGTTAACAGCATGGTAAACAGGGTGAAAAAGACCTCAGAAGAGATACGCAGGGACTGGGAGAGTAGGTGGTGTGACGTCCTATAAAGTGAAAAGCCAGGACAATAATGCGCAGGTGGAAGTGTAGGCTTTGAGAGGGGCAGAAGGGCTGACTTGAGGGTGGTGAAGTGGCTGCACGTGCAGACAAACTTAGGTTTCATAGGAGGGCCGGAAGTGACGTGCAGAGAAGCTTGAATTTCAGAGGTGGGCCGGAAGTGATATCTGCTGTGTAATGTGTGACATGAAGAGGCTGCAGGGCGCTCACTCTGAACATCAAGGTGGGACAGGCGTTTGGGGGCTTAGTCACGGAAGCGGTTAGGGCAGAGCGTGTGCTTCCTGCACCAATGTCTTCCCCACCGTAAACCAACTGTGCTTTGCTCGCTTCATGGCATTAAAAGGATCAGGAGCTCAGACTTGTGTTAAAATGACCACAGTGTACTTTATTTAATGATTTTGGTACCTTGTGTTGCAATAAAATAAAAAAAATCTACAAAATCCAAATATATAAAATTTCAAGTTTTTTTTTTAAGTTTTACAAGAAAAATCAGGTAACCAAGGAAATTGATTCATTATGAAGTACTACTTTCCACTTCATTTCATCACAAGTTGCAACTTACTTAACAGACCAAAATAACTATGGTACTGCAGTACATCAAATACTCCACGCACTGTGCTTGGAACACGAGCACTCGGGGTCACTGCCGGGGACGGCAGCCACCAGCCGATAGAGACACGCTTACGATCTGAACGCTAAAGGGATGTTTGGATACATGAACTTTGCATATATATATTTACAGGAAGGAAAAATTTAATAACTTGTTTAATTCTTCATTGCAAATGAAATTCCAAATACATTTGTACAGTGTTTACAAAGGAAAAGCACAAGAACCGCCAAGATTTTCATTTGGGTCCAGGCACTCTGCCTGCTCTAGGGGAAATGTCTTCACCATCTCTACACGTACACCTTATTTCTGCAGGGGAGAGGAGCGCAGGAGGGGCAGTTTGCACAATCAGAATGGCATGCAGACAGCTGACAACAGGGACGCGAGAAACGAGTGGTCCTCTTCGCTTTGCTGGCCATCTGCCACCTGTTACATCTTTTTGGAGATAAGATTTAAAACAACAAAAATTAAACAGAGAAAAGAGCACAACATGTTTAAGGCAAATGAAGCAAATTTAGAGCAGTCTCTCTTTGTGTTGAGCAGATACTGAGATTTTACCCCAAACCAAAGCAAAGGGAAGTGCACCCTCCTGAGGCTGGGTAGTTTATGTCACACACACATTTTTGAAAATTATTTTGCACCAAGTATCCTTTTGCAATTTTAAATGAAAAGACTTGCTGATTACAAAGTGCATGATTTTATGTTTCTAAATAAAACCACAGTAGCTGAGGTAGTTAGATGTGAAACTTATTTTACTTAAAATAACTGGAGAATGAAGACAAATGTCAGTAGCAAAAATCCTTGCCGTTTGGAAGCAGGTGTATATTATGCAACAGTTTAATGCTGAGCAAAATGCTTCTACTTAGCCATTAGATGCTATCACTTAAACCACAGTACTGATGGTAAGAGTGCTTCCAATCTGCTTGATAGGACGCATGTTCAGGTGAAGTCTGTATTTCTAGCATCTCATTTGTGACTTGGACTTTCACCGTTTCTGCACGGAAACCATTATATGAAACAGTGTTGTCATTACTAGAAACTCCAACATTAAAGAAATTAGTAAGAACGGAAGAAAGAATCAATAGAAAGGATGATTTTGCTCTCAATTTAACAATATTTGTCTTAGCCCCATGTTCCATGTACTGTTTGGTTTTAAAGAGGGAGGAGGGCTCTGGCTTACTGGTTGCTCTCTTCCTTCTGAGATGGGACAATATATTTGCATATCCATCACTATATCTTTCTGGGGGCCAGGGAGCTGTCTGGCTACTGAAGAAAAGCAGAAATTATTTAGTAGAAGTAGGCTCTCACCCAAGGGTAGCTCAAGTCATCCTTTGTCCTGTCCCTTTAATCAAAGAAAGGCTTCAGGTAGGATCTTCAGCAGCAACTAACTAAAAGATTCACTCTTTCATTACCTCATACCACCTGGATATGAGAGGGATTATTGTTACGATAATAGTCCAGTGGTATGGTTGTATAAATTATGAAACATCCCTTTAACCAAAGAATTTCTCTCTCTCTCTGTCTCTCTGTCTCTCTGTCTCTCTCTCTCTCTCTCTCTGTATATATATATATATATAT